TTTAGTAGGTAGTTTTATTAGTCTTACTAAAACAAACTAATACTTTAGTTAGTAATTTAGTAATAGTTGTCCTAACTTTAGTATTGTTAGTAGCCTCACCTCATATAACTTTACTATATATATATATATATATATATATATATAGGCAATAATGGCATAAGCCTACTAGCCTACAGTTACATATGAGTCCCACGGCCTAGGTCGATATGACGGTCACAATCTCATTTTTTATTTTAATTTTAATTTTTTTTCTACAAATCCAAATCACATGAAATTTTAGGCATCTATTCTTCTCTTCAAGTCGAACCTAATAAAAATACTAAAAAATAATAATTCATAAAATATAAAGTGATTAAAATACCCCTTAAATGTTTCTGAGGCATTTTGGTAAATTTATTTCGCACGAAATATGTTTTTGATATTTTTATTGGATTCTTATATTTTTAAATAACATACACCCAAAATTTTAACTGCTTTAGATTTATATATAATAATAAAATAAAATAAAAATCAAGCACAAAATACAATCGTGACCATTGGATCCGCCCAAATTCAATTTGGGTCGTTGGGCTCATATGTAGTTATAGGCTAATAGGTTTATGAGAAATGATTTCATTCCACTGTATCATTCTAATAAAATGAAGGGAAAACGGCAAAAACCCCCCAAAATGATTTTTTACGCACTTATATTTTTACCCCACACATAACTTTTCCTAGCAAATACCCCCATACAAAAGTTCTTTTTTTTGGATGAAAATACCCTTCCCTTACGTAACAAAATATTTTCTTTGGAGAGGGCGGTCCGGCATTTTGAACAGGCTATCCGATGATTATTTTTGCTGAAATGGCCGGTCCGGTATTTCATGGTGGCGGTCCAGCGTTTCATGGTGACGGTCCGATATTTCATGGTGGCAGTTCGACATTTCATGGTGGCGATCCGGCGATTATTTTTTGTTGGAATGGGCGGTCCGGCATTTTGAAGGCGGTCTAGCATTTTGAAGGGGCAGTTCGGTGTTTTGATATGGTGGTCCAGTATTTTGAAGGGGCAATCTGGCGTTTTGAAGTAAGCAATCCAACATTGTACAAGTGTTGTCCGGCGTTTCCTTTTATTGGGATCCGCAAAATTATTTGTTACATGAAGGAAGGGTATTTTCATCAAAAATAAATAATTTTTTGTATAGGGGGTATTTGCTAGAAACTTGATTTTTTGTGGGAAGTTGCTAGAAAAAGTTGGGTCGGATAAAGTCCGCAAAAAGTCCATTTTGGGGGGTCTTGCAATTTTCCTTAAAATGAAACCACTCTTCTAGAAACCCATATTTTTGGCATTTCTATAACCTCAAATTTTGCACACTCTCGTATCCTCATAATCAATCCGAGAAAAAATAAAATTCAATTTGCACCTTAAATATGGTCAAAATTAATGCTCTCCAACAATAAACTTCGACCGTCCATTTAGTGAATTTAAACGCCTATATCCACTGAAAGTTTGGAACTTGAATATATGGGTGTATCGACCGATTTAGGCCCTAACAAGCATCTCACTAAATATTGATTGGGTTTAGAGTATTTTTTCCAAATTTTGTTTTTTTGTATTTGTTCTTTAGAATGAAAATAGTGTATATTTAAAAATTAGTGTTGAGAAAATGGCTCTAACATGGTTTTTTTCATTGTTATATATATATATATATATATATATGTATATATATATATATATATATAGAGAGAGAGAGAGAGAGAGAGAGATAGAGAGAGAGGT